TTTTTTTTTTAACTCGTTTTATGAAACCGACCATTCTGCAGTTAAGTTATACATATTTAGCGATACATTTGAATGTTTAATATATTATCTAAGTGATTTATCTTTTTTTTAACTCGTTTATGAAACCGACCATTCTGCAGTAAGATCTGAAAACAAATGCATAATTTGAATCAAATAACTCATGCTGCATTCCTCTTTTTTCTTTGAACTTCATCACAATTCTTTTAACAAGAGATTACCAATTTTTCCAATTAAAAAGAAAAAAAAAGGTATTTCATTCTAACTTACCAACAATAAAGAAGATAGGAACATTAGCTTTTTTCAACGGTGTAAGGTCAATATTTTTACGTTCAATTGGAGCCTAAAATATCAATCATATAATATAAACAACAACAGAAGATATTGAATCTGAAATGCTGATAATTTAAAAATCAAAAAGCAGAAATATCAGAAAACATTAAATAACAGAAATAATTCATCTGCTAAAGAAGGAATAAAAAAAAAAAAAAAAACCAACCATTTAAATAGATATGTGAACTTATTTGAAATCCTTTATCCACTGGATGATCTCAACTGAAATCGTATAATTTCACTCAATTAAATGTTAGTATTTTGAACAATGAAACAGAAGAAGAAGAAGAAGAAGAAGAAGAAGAGGAAGAAGCAATAGTTCAGAGAAATAAAATATGAGCTACTTCACTTTATTTCAGTTCAACTTTCAAACTTTGTACGTTTGTCTGGTTGTATTAACCTGCAAAAACAAAACATCATACTAAATGAGAGAAAGAAAAAAAAAAGAAAAGAAAATAGCAATATTATCGAGAACGTTTTAAGAAGGATTTAACATATAACATATAACTTCAGTTTAAATAAGCTATCCCAAAAAAATAAAAATAAAAATAAATTGCAAAACATTTCATATACATAGAAGAAAAAAAAAGAGATTGGAAAAGAATGAAATGAAAACATTTCAAACGAAAAGATGAAAATAAGAAAGAAACAAAAAGTATGTAAAAACTGTTGCATTATGAGTTGTTTCTGTTGAATATCTGATAAACTTATTATCAACGTTGATATCATTATCAATATCATATAACAATATTAGTAGTAGCAGTAGTAGTAATAGAGATAAAAACAATGACAATAATCCATATCAATTAATATATAGTATTAATAGGCATAAAATGTTATCGTATATCAGTAAATTACCAATAAATTTGCTAAAGGAATGAAAAAAAAAGAAATTAATGTAAAAAATTAATTCATTATCCATATTGGAATATAATTAATTTATTGATTCGTTCCTGAGATAGAGTAACTGTAAAATGAAATAAAAAGAAAAGGTATAGTGTAAAATCTAGTAGAAATTGATAAATGATACCTGCTGAATATAATTAATCGGTATATATGGACACCAACACGAGAGAGAGAGGGAGAGAGAGAAAGAGAGGGAGGAAGGAGGAGAGAGAGAGGAAAGGAGAGAAAGAGAGGAGAAGAAAGGAGGAGAGGGAAAGCGGAGAGAAATTTACTAAAAAAATTAGGTAACTTGCTGTCAGAGAGAGGGAAAGAGGTAGAGAGAGAGAGAGAAGGGAAAAGAAAGAAAGAAATTGGCTGTTTATTGTAAAAGATGATTGTTTGATTTCTATCCAACATGTTGGAAATTTCTATATATCTCATCTAATTTATTCTAAAGAGTTGTATTCAACGAAAAGGAAAGGGAAGACAGACAGCAAGAGGAAGAAAAGGAAGTGTCAGAGAAATTTTACAATTTAAAAATTTTTAAAATATAAAAATAAATGAAGCATGGATCTTTATAAAACATTTTTTTTTTCTTCTCAACATATATTTTTTTAAAAACTTTCCTTCTCTGTCCGATAATCAATAATGCATGAATTGAATTATATTTGTTAATTAATGATGCAATAATTATCAGAGTTAGTGCTGTTATTGGATTGATGTTAAATTTAGAATAATTCATTTGCATTTCATTTCATTTTTCATAACTATAGAACGTAGCTGAAAGGAGAAAATGGAAGGTGAAATTAACATTATTTTCAATATTATTATAATTAAAAATTTTCAATTTTAATTTAACTTCATTCTTTTTCAAAAGATTTTAAAAGAAATCTGAAAAAAAAATTTTTTCTTCAAATTAAAACTTCATATTTGCAATGAGTAGAAAATATATTTTACACAAATACACAGGCATACAC